TACAAAAAGTTACATAAATTAATTTTTTTAATCAGCTAGTGGTTTAGACCCTAACCACTATCCGCTAGTTTCAAACCACCAAATAAAAATTTTACCAAACACTTTATTTGCAGCGGTTTCAAAATATATAAATTTACCAAACATCTATATTTAGCGATTTAAGTAAAATTGCTAACCATTACCCCAAAACCGCTACACTAAACGAGCCCATAGTTATACTATAATCTACCTTTTAATAATAAATCTAAAATATTATATTTTATAATTGCATAATAATCTACAATATAAACTTCAATTAATATTAGGATACCCACAATTATAGCATTAAAGTTACTTTTCCAATGGTATGGCATTAGGATTACAATTTATTTCTATTTATATATGTGAACGGACAAGGGAAAAAAAGGGGAGAAAATAGCAGCCACAATTTATATGATGATGCCTTGAAAATTTCATCTGAGTTAGGGTTAGAAACATGATTATTCTTTCTTAAAAAATGTACCATGAAATAATGAACCTATTTAAAATTTGTCTAGATTTTTTCTTGATTATATGTTTATCGATTAAATACAATTAATAGGATTGAAATACTTTAATTGTTATAAGATGATAGATTGGTTTTTCTTGATTCAGGTTATATTTGTCATATTTTGATTTTTTTTTTTTTTTGATCGTCTTGTCATATTTTGATTTTAAGTTTGATGAAATTAGTTGGTGCAGGAACCTGATGTTGTTTTTTTCAAAGAGAGTTAATTTAGAAATATTTGATGTAATTATTTGTCAAGTTAAATCAAGAGAGTTTAAATTTAACAGATTTAGTATTATAAAATATCCAACTTTAGTATTACAATATATTCAACGTTAAAAAGATTTAAATTATTCTCTCTATTTATTTCTTTTCTTACCGCAGTGCTCATGTAATTGACTCATACTACCGAGCTGCGTATAATACACTAGCATAGAACTCTCAAATCCAAACCCTATTAAGCAACGTACATCTATTCTAGCATTACATGTAAATTTAGGAGAAAATTTTCGCTGTACATTTTCTCAAGTTAGGTTTGACAACCCCAATCTCTGGATACTTGAAAATATGATTCATCACCAAAAGCAAAAGTATCAAAATAAGAAAATAAATGGAAATTGTAAGTGAAATATTGGGACTAAGATCATAAGAATAATTAAGGTACAATCTCAGAGCAAGATCTTAATTAAAATATGAATAATATATCATTATATATCCAAACAACTTTTATAAACATGATAAAATAATTAATATTTATTTGTATAAAAAAATATAAATATTGACTTTTATTTAATCAAAACAAAACAAGAAAATAAATAGAAATAGGAGACTTTTATTCTAAAATAAAATATTGTACCAGAGCAATAGCCTTTGCTATTTGTTTGATTTATTGCTTGATTGCTCAAGATGTAAAAACGATAAATTTAATCAAGCATTGACCTTATATTAAAAGCTTATTAAATATGGATTGTATATACTAAAACCCATGTAGTCATTTGTTACCATTCAGTTTAAATATGTAATCAATTAATATTATTTTATAGTTCCTCTTTGATTATAATTTTTATGTAAAGTAAAAAAAAATTAAATTTATATGCTTAAATCTTCTTTTATATATACTATTTATTCATTTTTATAAAGTATTATATTTAAAATTATTAATTAAAACAATTCAAGTCAAAACCATTACTAATCTAACAACATTTTGGGTCAAGATTCATGAGTTTTCAAAAACCTAAGGTCAAGTTATTAAAAATAATTAGTCTCTACACTTACTAATCACACTCACACTTCCATCTTGATTTGAGATTCAAGATATTACATTAATTATAAAAAAATATTTAATACATATTTTTAATTAATTATTGATACAAAAATTTATAATTAATAAACACCTAATTAAATTCAATATGAACAAACTGTGCAAAGCGCTAATGTGAGGGGGAAGCTGAAACATGGAGTCTTAAGAAAAATTAATGAGAGATGGATTAAAGGTAAATGAAAAGTACTAAGTACCAAGAGAATAATACTGATAAGTAATACTTTTTATGTTTTGACGTGAAAAACATTTGGGATAGAAAGACAAGTGGGCGAAAAAAGATATATATATATATATATATATATATATATATAAAAATAAAAACACACAGATAAAAAAAAAAAAAAAAAAAGAAAGATATATATATATATATATCGGTAAAGTGGCCATCAGTCCTACCTCCCAACAAAATTTGGAGTCCCAACAAAAAAACGACGTCGTTCTCTTAAACCCAGCCCCTCCCCTTTACCTTTCCCTCTTTTGCCTTTCCCTCTTCTGCAATCATCTCCGTTACCCCGCCAAAGTCTTCTTCCTCACCCTGACTTTGGGCCTTTTCTCTCTCATCTACCGAGCCTTCATTTCAGCCAGCAGCCATCAAAGGCGATCAAGCCCTGCTGCGCCCCTGCGCCCTGCTGCACCCGAGCCTGCGCCCTGCTGCACCCGAGCCTGCGCCCTACTGCACCCTGCTGCACCCTGCTGCACTGCGCCCTGCCCCCTGC